GTAATCATGCTTTTATTGCTGCAGTGAGGCAGCTGGTAGCTAGTGAAGTATTTTGAGCTCTTGGCAGCCTGAACATGTTCATTTATTAATGTTTAATCAGACCACCTAGACTGCTCTTAAATAACTTTAGCAACGTTATTATTTTTGGCTTCTGGATGGTTTGTCATTTTGTGTTTGTAGTAGATGATTTTTGATATCTTGCTAATGATTAAACGGGTCAGTAATGAACAGCCAGTCCAGTGAGGTTCCTCCAAATAACTCACTCCAAATACCTGTTTACCTCTGCGTGAGGAATCATTCCTTCTCTCGGGAATAATCTGAGGATGGAACTTCGAGCTGAGTGTGTCACAGAGCAGAAAGCCTCCTTCAGTTTGTTAACCTGTCATAAAACCTTGGGTATCACATAGCTCAGGATGCCAGAGGTGCTTTCTTGTTTGCTCATTTACATTCCTGCTGTCAGGCGTGGAGGTGTGTTACCTGTTCTTTTCTCCTCTCTCGTAGAAACCATTAGTGTAATAGGCTTAAAGAGGCGAGCGTGACAACGACTCGCATGTTCAGATCACCACAGCACAGAGGGGAGGGTGGGTTTATACAGGGTTTTTCAGTCTTACCAGTCACTTAAGACCCCTCAGACTTTGACACTGTGTCTGAGAAGTGGTCGTGCTTCCAGCTGTCAGATTAAAATGAGGATGATTCCATCTTTGAACGTTTGCCCGTTTTTCTTAATCAAGAACATTTGACTCCCAGAATAATTCCAAACCTCTGATAAAGTTTCCTGTAAGTAAACGGACTCAGAAAATGCCTCTGGGGTGAGGGGGCTGACTCTGCATGGTTCCTGATTCGTCAGAAGTCTGTTTCACCGCATTTAACAGAAATCTTCACATTTTTCCCACAATTTCCAAGCATGTGATATTCCAGGAATGTCTGCTATGTTTCAGTAAAAACTCCGGTGAATAAAACAGTTTGAAAACATTTTCTGGCAATCTTTAGACGTCCTGCACGTAAATAACCAGACAGACAAGCCAAACCAATCGCATACCGGCCTAATAAATAACAGCTAATAAACAAGAAGCACTCTGAGAGCGCAAACCACCACCAACCCTCTCGCTCTGTGGGCGGCGTTTTCTTTGAAGAGAACAGCGCTGTATTTTTTTACACATTCACTTTGTTTTCTTTGTTCTTTTTAAATGAACTTTCAGAAGTTTGTAGTGCAGTGAAGGGCAGCGTGACAGATGTTTACTTTGATTACACAAACATGGAGTTTTAAATAACTGGACATGAAGAACCTTGAGCTTGTGATTAGAGCAGGGCAATATGACCAGAAATATTTATCATGATGTACATTTGAAAATTTGCGATAACGATATAACTGACGATATAATTGACACTAGACAAAATACTTTACAACTCCACAACTCTATTAGTGCAAAAAAACCCCATCAATGTATTTTCACTTAAACAAGCAGCTGTTTTCTATGTGCATCAAAGTTATATAAAAATTTTACAGTGCAAATGCAAATTCCTCACTGACAGTTTAACCAAAAGGCATTTCCAGTGGAAACTGGCCGACATATCCTCAGCATAACCATTTATAATAGCCACAAAACTTAAAAAGAGCTTATACACACACAATACGGTAACATTATGTTGAAGCACAGTACGTATCACTCCGCGAGGCTCTGCCTACGATAGCCGTAATGCTCCAACAATCCATCAAGCGGTGCGGCTTCGTAGCTTAGCAAAGTCGTACTGAAACATTTGACAGATTTTCGAGCGCCGTGTACATAAAATCGTTTCGAGGTCAGTAAACACAACCAGAGTTCATACATAAGGCACACGGGATTATAAGGGGCTCTGTCGCGATATTTCATTTTCCTATCGCGATATTTCATTTTCTTATCGTTGCCCAACATTATACCGTGAACGGTATGAGCTGGCCCAGCCCTACTTGTGATATATTATTATAATTATACTACAGTTTATTCACTAACTAAACAGCTCACTGTCTTTCTCTTACTTTCTCTAAAACACAATGAGGTCAACTTGAAGGAAAGCCAGATGGGAAATATAAAAGTGAGGTCAGAGGTCAAATGTGACATGGTATTTTATGGAGGTTTGACCTTATTTGAGCTTGAAGAAGAGGTCAGAAGTCCAACATGAGGTGATAATTTAGAACCCCCATGAATCACT